AATATAAAAGGTGAAGCAGGCCACACCCCAGGGGATCCCAGGGTTGTCACTCGTGTAAGGGTATCGCAAACCAGTGGAAACCATTGACCAGCCAAGCAGACAGATATTTGGTGGGGGGGGACGGGGGACGGACACAATTCAGTCCATGACAGTTATCATCCAGTCGGTTCCCACTATGAGTGTCTGTGCAAAACTGTTCTCCATCGGGCTTTCAATGGCAGTGTGTTTTTAGAAGCAAGTTGCCAGGTCTGTCTTCTGCTTTTCCTCTGGGTAGACTTGAACAGTCGACCTTTCTGTTAGCAGCCACAAGCTTAACTGCACCCAGCTGGGATGTCCTGTCTGTACTCAGTTTACCGTTAAATTTGATCTGCATTCGACAACACCCTTCCATAGTGAGTTTGCTTATCTCCTCTCGGAGTTTATAGAGCCATCGCAGGGACCAAGATGAGGCTTTTTAGTCCCATAAAGAGTTACAGCTTAGGAAACCCACAGGGGCAGTTCTACTGGACCCCATAGGGTCCCTATGACTTTGTTTGTGTGTTCTCGGTCCCCAAAAGAGCTTCTGACACCGGTCCTAGTTCCTCACCTGCCATCAAGCACAGGCAAGGGACTCAGCTCGTGGATGGATCTAGGCAAAGCCTTGTCTCACCACGGAATGGTCCCCGGTCCAAAGCAGTGAGCTGACCTCACTTGCACACTCTACCTCGGGCTGCACTCAAAGCTGCCATCTGCTGCACAAAGGGCGTGCTTCGCAAGACACGGAATAAACTAAGGCCACCTTCCTGGGCTCTTGGAAAGGGTTCTGGAATCTGCAAGTGCTGACCACAGGCCCGCCACTGCCACACACTAAGAATACTTTTGTCATGGCAATAAATGGGCACTCGAGGTGGGAGTAAGGCGCGGGGACCTGCGGGGTGGTGGCAGGGCACAGCGGGAACGTGTCTGAGCCCACCACGCCGGCCGCTCTCGGCTCCGGAAAACTTCCGCGGGAACTGCCCGAGGCCGCCGGGCTCGCCCTCTCAGGCGTGTCGCTGATTGGCCGGGGTCGGCGCTGCGAGAAGCTCCCATTGGTCCAGGACGCGGCGCTCCGCCCCGGAAACCCTCCCCTGCCGCCGCCGCCGCGGGTTGGCGCGCGTTTGGAACGCTGTGCGCGCTCTTTCCGGTCCGTTTCCCTGGCTCCGGCCGCCGCTCGGCCGCCCGGTCTCCGTGTGCGCGCCCCCCGGCGCCTGCCGAGGCCGCGATGCAGAGGACGCAGAGGACCCGCGAGGAGGTGGACGCCACGCTGCAAATCGCCAAGCTGAACG